GGAACCAGTTCAATTGGGCAATCAAACTGCAGATAACTCTATTGAAAACCCAATTCCAAGTTGCTCTAGAATGTCCAGCTCTGAAATAGAATCACTCAAAGAGAATATTATCAGTCCAGAAGCTGTAAGACCATTTGCAAAGGCTGCACCTCGAAAAAAAAAACAAGTGTCAAGAAAAAAACGACTTCTACTGTATTGACTGATACTCCCATAATTGAAGAGAAGCAAGAAATATTGAGGTTAAAATTAGAGAAAAAATCTGAAAAGCGACAAAGAGTTAAGAAGGCCAAGGAAGTGAAGAGAAATTTATTCGCGCCCAAAAATGACAGCTCAAGCGAGAGTGACATATCAGTGAATGAAATGTGTGATGATGATTCAGATGCGGATATCTCCGACGAATTTTTGGAGGACCCAAATGAGAACCTTAACATATCTGATTTCATAATCGTTCAGTAGCCCATGAAAAAATGCATCAAACACTTTGTTGGTCAAATAGAAAAAATCGATAAAGATGAATACACAGTTAATTTCATGAAAAAAAAAAAAAAAAAACAAATAATAGGTTCAGCTTTCCTGAGAACCGGGATGAAGATATTGTCTCGAAAGAAGATATTATTCAAAAAGTTCCAATGCCTTCTGCTTCTGGTGGAACTGAAAGATCAGCTAAGCACTGGCTCTTTGATTTCGATTTTGAGGACTTTCATTTGCAATAATGCTTCTCACCACTGTTAAGTTGTTTCTCGTTTTGAATTTATAGCTTAGTCAAAACTTTTCTATTTGTACTACAAATCCAAATATTTTTATATTTGATACCTTGAAAATTATTAGAATAAAGTTATGTTTTCTAGTTTAAGTAGTGTTTCAAGATGTTTTCGTATCTTTGTCATTGGGCTACCCACTTAATTTATGTTAAACTTCTATCATTTTGAGAATAAACGATCAAATCTTTTTTTTGTATTTATTTATTTGGCTTCAAAAAACATTGTCCCACTATACACATGCATCTTTCCCGCACGGTGTGTGACCGTACTACACGTACCAGCAGACTGAAAATTGACAGCATTGAGGATGGGTATCAATTTCCCAGCACGCGTGCCGAAGTGCCACTTCGCTACCAGATTGATTGAGGATGTAGCTTTACTGTGACAATGTCACATGTCACACGATAGCACACGTCGTTGAACTGTTAGAGTCAGCTGTCGTTTAGAGGCATTTTGAGCAGCGTTGCTCGAATGGTATTGGTCGCCGTTGTGGCGCTAAATTCAAATTACAGTTTGTTTCTCTCCGACTTATTCTATAGACACTATGCTGGAAAATAATTTTGTATCCCACTATACCATTACCATTTAGCCTAAAGAATAATGTCACGCCTTTCTGATTAAAAGTTACCTGTGCACCAATCCTGAAAAATGACTCCACGTAGCACACCACTGCGCTACAAGCTAACCTATTCATGCTATATTGAACGTCCATTACAATCTCCCAGCGTTTTACTTGCTACCTATGAAATTAATTTTCTCAAAGAGGACTCATTTTTCAGGATTGCTGCAATTGTAACTTTTAATCAGAAAGGTTTAATCTACATTATGTAAAAAATTCAACCAATTCTGACATAAACACAATTTTCAAATGGACATTGGATACAGCATTTCGTGGGGTGGGGGCCATTATTCCTCCCATGGCGTGGAATGTGCCTTTTCCATATAGCGTGTTTACATTGAAGTCGGCGTTGTCGAAAATGAACTGGCTGAATGGATTGGCTGACTCATCAACTCTGGCTTTCTCCGCCTGCAGCACATAAGAACCCTCAAGTCTAGCAGCTTCGTTGTAGGTACATGAAAATCCTAACTTCGGTAAGAGGTTTACAAGAAGATTCGATCCACAGTTGTTGTAAACATACGTTGCAACGCCAATCATAATGGGTGACAAAAATGATTTTGGTCGGTCGGCTAGCATAATGGCATGTGCCAGAGCAAGACATTTCTTCTTCCACGATTCCAGTGAACCCCGTTTATTTGTCAAAATGATAGTATGAAGAAGAAGAAGCAGTGTCTCCGGAACAACATGATGGGAGTCACCATAAAAATTATCAATTGGGGGATGAGCTTCAGTGTTAAACATTTTAGATCGAATATCCTCTAAAATAATTTTACCTGCAGTTTTCACGATTCGATTTCTTGAGGGTCTCCGTTTTTTCGTTCAGGTACCACTTGTCAAGCAAAATTCTGTGTTGAGTGAACCAGAGATGATAAGGTCATTTTCAGACTTCTTCTCCAGGCGCTTAACGTGTGGACGAAAATTTCCGGGTACCTTATCAAGCAAGTGTCCAAGGGAAAACTAACACTCGTCACTGTTCTAGTTGAGAAAACTGAATATAATTTCCATGGCTTGATCTATGTTGAGAGAAGGTTGTCCCAGCTTTTGGTCGTATTCCGCGTTGAGCGCAACTAAATCTGTTTCCATATTAATCAACAGGCTTATTCGGTCCTCAATTTTTTGTTCCCATTCATCAGCTCGCTGTCTTGCGTATGACAAAATCGTTTTTGCTACCTCTGGAAGCGTCACTTTGACCATAGGATTGAGTCTTTCCTGAGGTAACTTCATTTGTTTTTGCCTGTACTGCTCAGTAACCTCTTTATCGCATAAAAAGCACTTGTTGTTGAAATTGAATGATAATGATGCATCTGAGCGCGTTGGTTTGGGGGCAGTTGTAGGGGTGTCACGCTGACGACGCAAGGAGGCCAAAATCAATTTATCGTTATTGTAATTTTTCTGACAAGATGTGTGAATTTTGATTTTTTCCACTCCTTCGAGTAACCGTTGATGATCAGGCTTTTTCCGCTTCAAACTGGTAGCAAGAAGCGTATCAATTCCTCTTTTTTTTACCAAAAACGCTTCACGTTCCGCCAAACTTTCTTCGCATTTGAAACACCGTTCTAATATTATTACAAATGCCATTAACTCAGCAGTACCACGAAAACAATACACGATGAAACTAAACAAAAACAGTAATTAGGAATTTGACGTGTACTACTGAGCCCAGACCCGTTCAGCTATCGATACTTGTCAGATAGATAGGCGAGTTCAGCACAGATGACGTCAAAATCAGAATCAAAATTAGAGAGTATTAAGAATACCGACGAGTGCGGACGTGTGCAATAAATGCTCCGACAATTTTGTCGTGAATTCTAAAGGGACAAGTTGTTTTTTGTGTGGAAAAAAGTTTCATTATGTGTGTGTTTCAGTAAAGGATGCATGGAATAAAATATTTGTCGACAATCCGAATATTATATGGGTATGTGACCCATGCAAGGTCAAACTATCACCGGGCACCAGCTGTAAAGGTAAACAAAATAACACGGAAATTGAATTTGAATCTATAAAAAATCAACTTGATGCTTGTAAACGAGAATTAATACTCGCACAAAAATTAATCTCACAGATGGAATATTCTAGTCAGTTACAGAAAACAATAATTTTGTCTTATGAAACTAAAATTAATGCTAGTAACAGTAACAACAATAGCCAAACTAAAATTAACACTTCAAAAAAATATAATGAAACTGTTAAAATGAATTCTGATGCGACTACATCAAGTAATAGGGCTAGTACCAGCACTAGTACTAGTAATAGTACAAGTGTTGTTGCTACGAGCAAAGGATCTGGTACTAGAAACCAAAATACGATTACTAAACCCATAACAAAAAAAAGATGTAAACCTTGCTCTTACTCAAGCTCAAGGGAGTCTAATTATAAACAAAGTCCAAAATTTGATTCCAAGTAATCATAATGAGGAACTCAACGAAGCAGAATGGCAGCAGGCTCCTCATCGAAACAGAAGAAGTAGGCGAAGATTTGTTGTGGGGGGAAACACCGATAATGCGAATCTCAACGCTGTTCCAAAAAGCATCTCGCTTCACGTAACGCGGTTGCAGCCAAATGCTAAGCCAGAAGAACTTGAAAATCTTCTTAAATCCAGTTTTCCAGAAATGAAATAGAAACAACATACGTCGAAACGTCCTGATATTTACAGTTCCATGAAAATCACCATCAATCACAATAACCTGGGAAGAGCTTGGAAAAAAGAAGTGTGGCCTGAAGGTGCCCTTGTCTCGGTTTTTTAAGCCAAAAGAAGGATACCTCGAACAACAACAGAATAACAGACAATCCTAATTCTCTTAAAGGCAATCAAAATTCAAATCCAACTTTATTTAATATATTGTATCAAAATGTTAGGGGTTTACGAACTAAAACCGCTGAGGTATATCAGAATATCTTGAATGCAGAATGGGATGTGATATGTATTAGTGAATCCTGGCTGAATGACTCGTTTTATAACTCTGAATTCTGTGATAGTAGATATATTGTATATAGGAATGATAAGGATTACACCTATTCTGGTGTTTCTAGAGGGGGTGGAGTCCTATGCTGTATAAAAAATATTTATAAAGCCGTGATCGTAAGTAGGAGTTCTGATGTTGATTTCCAGTGGCTGTGTGTTAGTTTGTCTGTGCGTCATACTAAGTTTCTGATTTGTATAGTTTATATTTCATGTTCATCTAATATTGCTGTATATCAAAGTTTTATTGAATGTCTAGCTTTGCAGGAGTTGTGTAATTACGACAACATAATATTTGTAGGAGATTTTAATGTTCCTGATATCAACGGCTGTTCATATGATTGGTCTACTGATTCTACTAAAGCACAGGTAATAAATACCCTTATCAACGAATATGACCTTTATTCTATCAATGATAATAGAAATAACTCTGGTAACACACTTGACCTGGTACTTACAAATATTACAGAGGCCCAGGTGACGGCTTGCCTTGATGATACTCTAGTGGGTGTAATAGATGGTTATCATCCACCGCTCGAAATAAGTTTTGAAATTAGACATACTGTCGGAGCAAATTTGAAATCTGAAGGCACCTTCAAATTTGATTTCAAGAGGGGAGCCTATTATCAGTTATATTCCTTGTTACAGGACCAGGATTGGTTGATGCTGTCAAACTGTGATGATGTAGATCATTGCCTAAGTCTTTTCTATCAGACATTAAATACCATATTGGAACGTTGCATTCCCAAAACAAAAACTAGCACTGTTGACCCTAAGTTTCCAATGTGGTTTACGAAAACATTAATACATAAAATAAAAGAAAAACAACATTTTCATAAAATGATGAAAAAGTATAATTCACAAAGGGAATTCTATAGTCAACAGTGCAGTTCTCTTAGACGTGAAACAAAAAGTCTAATTAGGCAATGTCATAATCAATACTTGAAAGAAAAAGAAGATAACATCTATAATGATCCCAATATGTTCTGGAACTTTGTTAAGGAAAAACGAAAGAATAGCAGCCTGTGCCACAAATTTACTTATGGTGATCAATCTTATACTGAGGATGCAGCTGTTGCTAACGCATTTTCAGAGTTTTTCAAAGATATGTACAATA